GGGGGGAACCCTGTGATGGACCAGCAGCCCATCCATGGGAAATTAGAAATACTCCAAGTTGCTTCATGCTACAGAAACCGAAGTTAAGTCATACTCATACTCGTACATCTTTATTTAACGAGGGTAACATAGTAACTTGCATAAGTTTTCTAACATACGGCCCCTCATCTTCCCGTCCATCCCACCCCAGAGGAGGACATCCATCACACAGTAATCTCGTGTGTGGGAAATTAACGTCTCCTACCCAAACCCTGCAGGAGGCGGGACCTCCATTTATTCATTCCTATTCGAGAAGACTAGAATATCTAACCATTTCTTGATGTTATAGAAGCCTGGTAGCAAATTCTTCTCAATTATTTTAAGACTTTGAGTGTTGGTTGGGCCAGGGCTCGAACCCTCAACCTCCCGCACAACAGTCCAGTGCATTACCCATTGGGCTATCTGGGCGGTGGTTTAAGTGCTTGCCTTATGGGCCACTTGGTTCATATACAGAATTTTTTTTTTCTCAGGATAGGGTTTGCCATTGCCAAACAACTTGCTCGTGATGGTGCAAAGGTTATGATCAGCAGCCGTAAACAGGACAAAGTAATTGATGCAGTCTCTAAGTTGGAGAAAGAACAAGGTTGTACAGTGAAAGGTGTTGTGTGCCATGTTGGGAAAACTGAACATCGCAAGAATCTTATCAAAGAGGTACTAAAGTGTTGACTTCTGATAACTGTATGCAAATAAATTGTGATGTCAGTTTATAATGAATGATATTTGATGATTATTTTACCATGGTTGTAATGAACATTTCTGTAAACAGACATTGGATACTTTTGGAGGAATTGACATCTTAGTGTCAAATGCTGCTGTTAACCCCACATTTGGACCAATACAAGAGGTAATTTTTGACTAATGCTAATTGTTCTAGTCTGAGAGTGAAAAGGAGTATTACGTATGATGACAAGGATAATGACCAAATATGGTGATGGAAAAATGAATAAGGCTACAAGAATTTTTTTTCTGTATAAAAGTAATTACTTGTTTTGATTATACAGTCAAACCTGTGTAAGGCGGCACTAGCATTGTATTAAGGGGTCACCCTGTATTATGCGGTCAGGTGCCAAAGTCCTGAAATTTTCACCCCTTAATCAGTCATTGTCATTGTCAAGTATTGACCCACTCTTGACCCATATATTGACCAATATGTATTGGTTGAGAGCACCTACAATAAAAATGATCTGTACTGTCTTCCATCTGAACTGAACAGTCACTAAAAAACTGAACTGCTCAAATAAAACTAAGAAATCTTTCAAGTAATTTTCAATCCATGTTTCTCTACAGTAGTATTTTTGAGTGAGGTTCTGACACATTAAGTAGTCAATTATGGCATAAAGTGGCTTTCTGTGTGCCCCTAATCTGTGGAACCTGTCTTAAGCAGTCAACCTGTATTAACAGTCACCCTGCCATTTCCCGTGGGTGACTGCTTAATGCAGGTTTGACAGCATGTATTCATTTATAATAGAAAAAATTTTCAATTGAATTTTGAATTTTAAAAGTAATCTCAGATTCCTTTTGTTTTGCCTTTTCTTCCTCTGTGATTGTTCCAGAAAATCTTTACTACCTTCTCTAGCAGTCTGGTGCAAAACTGAAACCAGTTGATAGTTGCTTAGTCACACTGACAGTTTTCATGCAGTCTTCTGCTTTTACTCTGAGTTCTCTATCGCCATTTGGGATTTTAACCTTTGTGATGGGTCTTTGTTATCACTTTTATTTTCACAAAACCCAATCAAACTATGGATGAATTGTCATGTAGGAGATTAGTTCAATAATTTTGAAAAAAACTAAAAAAAGTTTGTCATAGTAGGTGTTAAAAATTGGTAGTGTTGTTAAGTGTGGTCAACCTATCATTGATTGATTGTTATTTCAGACACCAGAGGAATCATGGGAAAAGGTATTATTTTATTTGTGAAGAATAAATTCTGATGTTTCTTTTTCCTCTTATAATGTGCATCAGCAGCTAAATGAAGTGTTAAAATCTCCTGTATGGTAGGAATATGGGGGCCAAATGAGCACAAAAGGAAAGAGAAGAAAAATGCCTTAATACATGTACCTGAATGTGTGTGGTTGTCAGTAGTTTGTACTTTATGTGTAACAGACTCAAAAGTCAAATTGTGAATACTGCAAAGTATTAGTTTCTTAGAAAATTTTGTGTTTGTTAAACTTTTTTTTGTATTTTGTAAATTACAGATTTTTGATATTAATTTGAAGTCAGCTTTTCTTCTGGCAAAAGATGTTATTCCATTGATGAAAAAGAGAGGGTTTGTATAGTCCTAACTTGATTATATACATATATGTATCAGTAGTAATGATAGTTCAATTACTCTAAACTGACTTGTGCCAATAATTTATAATACAGTTCACCTAAAATCAAACTTTGTTGTTTGTTTGTTTCAGTGGTGGATCTGTAGTGTTTATTTCTTCCATTGCCGGACTTCAGCCATCCATGCAGGTAAATAAAACATTTTTTCAAACTTAACTGTCATATAAAACAAATTTTTTGGTTTGAAAATTAAGCCATTTTTACAGGTTTGTTTTTTATTTCAAACATACATGAATTCAAAAACCACTCCTTAGGTTTAGTTACCTGCAGTTTTGATAGTTTATTTTCCAATTATTTTTAGTATGATCTTTGATCATGCTTTGAAGGCTGATCGTACCATAAAAATTACTTTAAACTGTTCTTTGTCAATCTCAAAGATGGAGAGATGAATAATTCTTTAGGACTGAAAAGCAATCTTGATTATTCAGTATCTTGATGCCATTGGTTTCAGGGTCTGGGTGCTTATAGCGTAAGCAAAACAGCTTTGCTTGGTTTGACAAAGGTTCTAGCCAATGAATGTGCTCACATGAGGGTGAGGGTGAATTGTGTCGCACCAGGGATCATCAAGACAAATTTTAGTGGAGCAGTGAGTATTCAAAAGCCGTGAAAGCAATTTATTTTAGATATAATTACCCTTTCATTGCAAATAAACATGAGATAAAAATCAAAAATGAAATTCATCCAGATGAGGTGACATTTATGAGCCAGAAGAGGATTAATAACTGAAATGCTGTGAGAGAGATGAAAATGATAAGTAAGCATTGGTAAAGTGTGATTGAGAATAAAGAAAAAGAAAATGAAAAGAGCTGGATAAAAAATGATCAAATAAATAAATGCATGCATGAAATAATGGAAAACAAAGAAAACAAGTGAGGTAAAGACTAATCAGAACAGAGGTAATTATGAGCAAACTCTCTTCTTGGGTGGATCAACAATGTGACTTGAGTAAAAATGGAAATTAAGCCCTAAAGAGCGAGTGAAGTAAATTATAGTGTACACTGGATGTCTTTTTCGCTTTTGCAGCTTTGGCAAAGCGAGTCCTTAACTGAGGCAGCACTTGCTCAAATTCCCATGAGGAGGTAAGGCTGGTGACTAACAAAGAAGATTTATGCAACCCTTTACCTTCCAAGATCTTTTATCTCTTTGACTCTTGACTTTAGTTGTTTAATGCATTTGACGATGGTGTGGCACTGACAACTGGCAATTGATATTGGTGGGAGAAATTACTCACTGATCACTCCTAAGAGCGGAAGGGCGTGTACAGAATGATTATAAGTTTTGTAAATAACAAAATTGTCCTGCTTCATGAAAAGTCCAATTCTGTAAGGGAGGCCTGTTTTATCTGTTTTTGGCTTTCAGACTTGGTGAGTCAGAGGATATTGGTGGTGCAGTATCTTTTCTATCATCTGATCAAGCATCGTACATCACTGGAGAAACTTTAGTTATTGCTGGAGGAATGCATTCAAGACTGTGATTTTAACTTATATTTAAAGAAAGACTAAATTTGACAATTAGGTGATCTCATTGAAGAGATATCTTGTTAGACTACTTAACCCCACAAGAAAAAGCTATGGAAGTAATTTTATGTAAACTTTGGATGTGATGTATGAAGGAAGCACTGTTAACGTAAATTTTAATAAAGTGAAAAGTCATGAAATGAACTTGAGTCGCTGCAGGCAAGATTTCTGTCTTTGACACTGGCTTGTGTTGATGTTAATCATTCGTTTGGTCACAGTCCTAGGAGTGAAAGGGTTGTGCTAAGAATCCTACAGTTTTCATATTGATGAGTCAAAAAGTAATGAGATGTACTTTGACCAGAGTTTTGTATTTTTTTCTGAACTCTGTTAATTACCGTGGAACTTGAGATGGATAGTTCACCCCACCATTGTCCTCTTCCTTCCACGCAACCTCACTTCATCCAGTTTCTTTATTATCTCTGCAGCCTTGCTTGCTTTCCTCTTATAACTTTCCAAAACAATCTTGAACAGTTGCTCAGTGTTTGGATGAGTGCTAAGGAAGGCCCTTTCCAAAACGTAAAGATCAACACCCTTATCTTCCGTCAGGGACGATATAAAGCTCAATCCGAAATCAATTAGAATGATATTTTCAAAACCTGATTTTATCAAGATGTTTGAAGTGGTCAAATCCCCATGGATACAGTCTACGTTGTGCATTACTGCTAATGTAGATCCAATTTTCTCCGCAAAACTTTGTAAACTTTGCTCAGATGCTTCAGAAGGATCATCCAGAAGCTTGTTGATGTGATCTCTAGCTGTCACGCAATTTTCGATTTCTTCCATGTAGATACAATGAGTAGTGTAATCAACATAATAAACCACTGGAGTGCAGATTCCTGTTTTCCTACAGCGAAGCATTGATCGCACTTCTTGCGTGGTCCTTCGATGGGTGAGCTTTTCGTCCAGGGAAGGATGCCTGTAAGATTTTGAAAACCTCTCCTTTACTATAGCCTTCTTGGTGTAAAACTCCGTTTTGTACACACGTGCTTCTGCGCCTTGCTTGAGCAAGCTCCAACCTTCCATTGCAGACGCCATTTTGGACATGGTTCACGAGCCTTCGTACGGTCAGCGTGTGCCCGTGAAGTTCATGCACCTTCATTTGTATTCGTCGCCATCTTAGCATCACGGCATTTCACTTGTAAGTAGACCTTAACTCTCGTTTTACTCAGCAATCGTTTACAGCATACATTCATTACAGCTTTGCTTTACCTTCGAAATCCCACAGCGTTCCAAGATGGGTGTACTACTAAGGATGAGGAATCATATTCAACAAAACAGCCATATATTGTACCGTGTGGGTTACGATCTACGATTCTTGATTGCCGGTTTTCTGGTCACAGGCTATGGAGTTAAAAAGATTGTTGCTGCTGGAGAAAAAAGTGAGTAGTATATTCTATTGAAGGGTGTATTTTGTTCTTTGAGTATTTGACGCGGCGTTCACCCGATCTTGTATCGGTTTGAAGGCCACCCTGACGTGTAGGCACACTCGTTGTTAATTAATACAGGACGGTGTGCATCGATTCAAATCTTGAAATGTGTTACCATCACATGAATGTTAGTCTTGGAATTTTTGCTTTTCCGTCATTTGCATATAGCCCTGATTTGTTTCCTAGCAGACTTCACGGGAAAAGAACCACCTAAATGCGGGGATGAATTTAAAAATTATATTGGGCTAATCATAGTACATTTGTACTGCTAATAGGTACTCAAAGTTTGTGGCATTAAAGGGGAAGTACGGTCTAGAAAAAGTTTACTTAGATCAAAACTTCCTTGCTTGAATTGTCTTAACTGGCTATTCATTTGAGCTAAAAGCATTTTAGTTGCAAACAATTACGTTCCAAAAATCGGCATTTTCAAATTGAAATCCGCCATCGTTGTTATGACATAGCAATGGTCAAACATGCTAAATTATATCCCTTGCTGAAGTGGATGTAAACAAGGAAAACAGTGGCAATGGGGGTGCTGCCTATTGAATTCTCGACTTGGATTTTAATCTAGCGAGAGGATGTAGTACATCCATTTATGTTTCAAATGAAACATGGCTCGTCTTCAGGGGAAGGAGATACTTCTGTTTGGGAGAAAGACAGAGAGAAAGTCAAGGAAATGAATTTAAACTAGCGAGAGGATGTAGTACATCCATTTATGTTTCAAATGAAACATGGCTGGTCTTCAGGGGAAGGAGATACTTCTGTAGGGGAGAAAGAGAGAGAGAAAGTCAAGCAAATGAATTTCAAGAAGAAACGTGGACCCGCTCAGTCGCTCACGTGTTGGAAATCGCGAGTGGTTCTCTTGCGGCAACTGTCAAGAGAAACCTACAGAAAACAAGAATGTATCCCCCTAAGAATTAAATGTACTAGGAAACCGACTTAATTCGAAAGGCAAAGCTTTTTTCCTCCAACAAATCCTAGCTGTGGAGTGATAGTTACTTTACTGAAGAAGACCGCAGTGCCCGCTATGGATTCATTTTACACTGCTACCTCAGAATGAGACGAACTATTTTAGCAGACTTTACAGGAACCCAGCTTCGGTGTATAGACGGAACACGAGCCATTTGGAACTAAGATCAGCCCCAGTTGGCATGCAACAAGTTAGAAGTGCTAGACTTGAAGATTATTCTTCGTATGCGTAAACACTGATAAAATTGATTATAAACACTAAGTTGCCAAAATTAACGCTGACAAAAGGCAGAAGTTAATTGTTACAAATTAAATTTTGTTTGTTTCAGCATTTACCTTTAATTTGCAAAGTTGTTTTTCATCTTTACTTTTAGAATTAGCTTCAACGCAGTATTTTTCATTCTAAAATGTTTGAAATGTTGCAACTTGTGAGAAGTAGAGCTTTGTTATTTTCGACGCGCACCGGAAAATCGCCTATGTCATACAGGGTTTAAAATAACTGAGAAGAATATGCTTCCTTTCTGTAACATCAAGAAATGGTTAGATATTCTAGTCTTCTCGGATAGGGATGAATTAATGGAGGTCCCGTCTCCCGCAGGGTTAGCGGTAGGAGACGTTAATTTCCCACGCACGAGTATACTGTGTGATGGATGTCCTCCCCTGGGATGGGTTGGGTGGGTGCTTACAGGGCCGTTCTGAAAACCACATCTGTGAGAACGTACCCTGTCTAAAGATTATTATCTATCTATCTAATTATTCACTTACAATAAAATGGTTTGAAAAAACTCGTAGAATAAATAACTGAGGGCTGTGTTGAATATGGAAAAGGTAAGCATAGCTTTCAGTTCGAAGCGAAGCTCAACAAGGAAAACCTGCATGCCTGTATATCTCGCTGGAAGTCTTCGTTCTGGCACTGAGTTCCGAGGTTTTACAGGGTTCGGCAAGTCATCAACGCAGGTCATTTTTGCCAGCTAACTTTTCTTTAATATTTCACTTTCCGGTAGCTTGTAGAGGCTTACACACTTTTTCCTTTTGAATTTTAGTATATATTTTGACATTCAACAACAGGACAGTTCATCTCATTTAAACTATTGGGACTATTAGAAATTGTTTTCACCAAAGGTCAAACTAGTCAACAAGGACAAAGTGCCGAACTAAGTTTGACTGTTGCTGCGTCACAATGTCGTAATATCCAAGATGGCCTTTTTCTAACCACGAAAGTTGTAAAAATGGGCAACTTCGAAGCGCTCTTGTCTTTAATTCAAAGCAAACTAGACAAAATGGCAGTTATTTTCGAACTCCTGAGGAAAAAGTCTTCTAATTGAAATAAACTTTTTCTAGACTGTACTTTCCCTTTAAAGCTCACAACGTTGGTTAATAATTTGTTTAAGTCTCCAGCTGGACAATTTTCTGCATTTCAGTCTTATTTCGAGTTACCAGCCTTGTGGTGCTATTAAAAACAAAACAAAAACCTGTAGTGCTGTCCAATAGTTTGAAAGGAGAAAGTCCAGGGCTCGACACTAATGGTAGCCCACTAGCCGCAGACTGGTAGAAATTCAGTTTTGGCCAGTGGTTTTCAATTTCCACCAGCCAGTTTGGCTAAACAGACTGAAATTGTCATAACATTGAGCCCTGAAGTGGGTAAGAAATAGAAGTGGCTGGGTCATTGTGAAGCCCATGTTGTTTAGCAAGATTAAATGCGAGCTTGGAAAATAATCAGCTGAAGTGTCCCAGGCACTCCATGAAGGTAGTGCGAGTCTTCACTAAGTTTTGAGTGTGGAATCAATTCACACCTGAATCTAAGACTGATTATGCATTAAATTGTAATTAAAAAATGAGCACTGGCTGCTTTACAAATTCCTTTGATGGTTCATTGATAATTGTTAAGCTTTTCATCAGTACTTCTGGTTTAATAAGGTAAAAGTAGCCAAGGAAGGCAGAGGAGGGACAATAAATTTGGCTTGCTACTGGCTATTATTAAGAGCTCCAAACTATGTTGCTATGAGGCAATTACTTAAAGAAAAACTGGGTAAAGTAGGGAGGCAACAACTTTTGTTTGTGTCCCTTACCCTACAGTCTAGACTAAACTTAACTGTGTCAAAAATTGACTATTTTATTTGTTTTTTCTTTCTTTCTTTCTTTCAGAGCAAGGTGGTAAAACAGGAGGTAAGCCTAGAAAACATTTTTTCATGTAGTGGTGGTGTTAAAATGATTTTCAGTGGAAAGATTTTTGATTCTTTTCAATGAATGTCATTTCAGAGGCAAATTGTTGGGGAATCTAATAGTAAAGTGTTTAAAAGTGTGAAAGGTGTCTTGGGGACTGGACTGACATGCTCAAGGAGGCAAATCTTACCCTCTGTTTATGTGAAAAAAAAATTCAGAGAGATAATATTTCATTCAGCTGTGTGGTGAATTTCAGCTTGCCTCCTCAGGGCTGTGGTCTAGCAGTGCCCAGTGGCCCCTGTCACTTTACTTTTGCTCTTAGGTGACTCAGAAATCTTAGCTTTTTCACAAAAAGCATATGCTGAGCACCCTGGATTTCACAGTTTCAGAGCACTGGGTTCCCTTCAATTTTTCATAGAGATGATATTGATTTGTTTTAACAAGATCTTGGTCTCAAAAAATAAAAATCTCAGCCACCCTATCTTCTCTATTTGGTATTGCAAAAGTTTTAGCGATGAATGAGATGAGGTGGGATCTCAAAAACTGAGTTAGGTATATATGTACAGTATAATTTGGATATATCAACAAAGTGGAAATGGTAAATTGGCCACCGTAACGATTACAAAAGCTGGCGTTTCGAGCGTTAGCCCTTCGTCGGAGTGAATAGAGGAATTGTGGGTTGTGTGTGCTTTTAAAGGCAGAAATTGGAGCTACGTTATTGGTGAGAACATGGCAACGAGAAAAACACGAATAAATTACTGGAATGAAAAGCGTTCGTTGATACCTGTGGGATTTAGACTGCCGGTTTGAAAGATGAGCTTTTGATCAAGAGTTTTACGGCTTTCCATGCTACACTAAAGCCGTAAAACTCTTGAGCTCATCTTTCAAACCGACAGTCTAAATCCCCCAGGGATCAACGAACACTTTTCATTCCACTAATTTATTCGTGTTTTTCTCATTGCCATGTTCCCACCAATAACGTAGCTCCATTTTCTGCCTTTAAAAGCACACTCAATCCACAATTCCTCTATTCGCTCCG